AAACTTCAATGCTGGAATTATCTGTTACTTTGTTCTAGCAATGAGCTAATCTGCCAGAAATGCATTGCAGTGGTTCTCCTCTGTTGCTCTGTGCAGCCGGAGGAGCTGACGCTGCTGCTGATCAAGCTTCGCCGGCAGCAGGCGGAGCTCAACAGCCTGCGGGAACACACGGTAGCTCAGCTAATGGCCGTTGGTATGGAAGGGCACAACGCAAAGGTCAGCTCTGAGTGTGTGTTTGTGCATGCACGTGTTTGTTTCCCAGCCGAGCAGTCAAAACACACGCTGTGTGCATTTGTATGTATCTGCAAGAGGATTCGTTGTCCGGTTTAGACGTCGTGTCTGCTCGGTTTGGAAAAATCTCGTGTTTCGGTTTAAATCATAGACTGTATGTAAAAGATGTCACCTCCATCATCTGGATTTGTGTTGGCTCGGTGTTATCCTGTAACCACGGCTACGTTGACTTTTGTGTTGCAGAAAGTGACCATATTTTGACCAAAGACGATAGTTCTCAGATTAGCGAGCTGCGTGGATAAACTGTGCTGGTGCTGCATGTGGACACAAACTATCAAAAAATACTGACTGACAAATCATTCAAAGCCGTTTCACGAGGTCCCTCAAACTTGGTCTGCATGTTCATGGACGGCAGTCAGCCGGCGGTATTGACTCACCTCCCTGACCCTCACTCTATGCTTACCTCTGTTTTATTTAAACACAAAGAAACACTGTGGAGTATTGTTGTGGCATTAATGGTGGATGGGTTTGTCCAGTCGCCTCTCATCCAGGTGTCTTCCCTCCAGACAAAAGAAACCCGAACAGCCAAATCAGTCCCACCTGTAGCTCGCAAAGTCGATTGAGTTCACCGGTTGGATTTCGGTTCCCCCTCTAGCGTCTCTGCGGGAGTTTAAACGGTGACCTGTTTAGATCAATGCTCTGAGCTGCTCATCGCACTAAAGAAAGAATCTCTTTCACACAGTTATACCTGCTCACCCGTCCTCCACCTTCCTTCACCGGACGCCACATCTTCACATTTTGGTCGTCTAATAAAGTTGTTGACATGTAATCATCAGATGTCCTCCCACAACTCGTATATCTGACTTACAGGGTTCAACACAAAGTCTAAACTTTAAAATATTTCATTTTCTTTGTTGTTCTGAACATAAACGTTAAAACATTCAGGAACAGAATCCTTCATAATTCACATACAGAGGAAGACTTTACTTTACTGTTTAAAACAAAGTATTTAGTATTTAGCTGTGATGGTCACACGACACGTGCATGATGAGTCCTGCTTTGAGCCCATCAGCATGTATGTTGTATCTGTCTTCTTGTATTGAAGATCAAGAAGTTATTCCACGTGTGGAGATGGCGTGACAGACACCGTCATGCCGTGAATTTAGTTTGTAGGCCTGAACTTCCTGCGGTGCGTGAGCTCGAGTTTGTCACTTTCAAACTATAAAACTGTGAGGGAGGCGAGTGAGGCCCCAGAGTGCAGATAAACTAAAGACGAGTCATTAATTCATCAAGTGTGGGCATCCACAGGAGCTAAACACCAGGGCTGTGGGACACTGGAGTGACAGCAGGACAGAACTAACCAGAAGGCACGAACTGACACAGACGTGAACACAACACGAGCAGGATCTGACTAAACTAAACCAGAAAACATGAAAATGCTGAACTCAGTCTACGAGAACGAACACAGAAGTTTAAGGAAGAACACATGAAACATTAAACACATCAGGAAGGAGCGAAACGAACACTAGAAAGCCACAAACATTTGGAGAGCAGACCCAGGAACATGACACAAATAGATATCAGATTATAATATGAGTTTAATGGCTTATGTGGACAGTTTGCTGAGCGAGTTTCTTCGGTTTAAATCGAGCTCTGGTTCGTTCTCCCTGCTGCAATTGGTTTGTGCAAGTGTGAACACAGAAGTGGGACAGGGCTGAGGACCAGAACAACCACACCAAGACGCTTTGACAGACCGTACGGTCCCAGATGAACTCCAGACGGCTGCATTTATGGTGCGAATGTGAACGAAACACCAAGTTTGAGCGAAAAACGTCCGTAGCCAAATATGCTTTGTGTTGTCAGTGCAGGAAAGAAGTGTAGGTCACGGCAAACGAACGTCAATGCTTTGTGTTCTCCAACAGTCCAGAACCTTCTTCCTGTGTTTACCTTTGCTGCTCCCGCCCCAGACACATCTGGCCAATGAGTGGGCTGAACACTCCCACTTGGTTTGTGTCACATTTTGGCTTGTTTGGAGTTCGCGTGAATTTTTCCTTGTGTGAAAGTTTACAAACTCATCAGCTGATTGGGACCAGAATAAATGAGTGAAAACGCCCCTACAGGAAAGCTCTGAAACCCAAAGACAATAAAATGTGACATCAGCCAGCTTGTTGCTGGGCAGATCAGGTCAAGACCTGTTTTAAATGTAGAGCGTGTGCCTACCAAAGCAAAGCCATAGCCGGATTTAAAGTGGCGCTGCATCCTGTTTGAAGTTTGGAAAGGATGGAGTTGGACTGCTGATCGAGTCAGTCGTGGTGAAGCATGAAAAAGCTCTGCGTTGGAATGAAGGGGCGCCCGGCTGCCACCTCGCCACAGTCGTTTATGCTCCTCGCACATGCCTCCGGTAGGAAACATGTCACAACCATGTCAAAGAAAAAGTCCAGAATGCTCCTGACAAACTCCAAGTTTTTACAAACATGCGTGTGATATAGACCTCGTGATGTTTGCGTGCTGCTCTATCATGCAGATTCATACAGATTATGCTGAGTTTTTACTGATTACCAACTATTATTAAATTCTTACTCTGATCATTGCGACGAAGCCATGACGATATTCAGGGACGATTGTACATAAACGCAGGTTCAGATTCTTTGCTGTCATTCTCTCTCCTGTTTTTGTGAACTCTTCCTCTGTAACTTCTTTTCCTTTCCTGCTTCCTTGCCTCAGTACTAATGTGTCTACCAAACGTTTCCTATTTCTCCTCTCCTTCCTTCTTGGCTACTGAAGACTGATGTTCTCTTCCATCATCTCCAGAGGAACCTTATTTACCTGGAAAGTCAGGTGAGCACT